GTATCTTTCTGATGAAAAATGAACGAATATGCACAACTTTGTGAAACCGGTAAAAACCGGTGAAAACCGGCCGGTCCAACTCACTCAACCGGTCCGGTACGGCCGGACCGGACCGGTTACAACTCTGGTCTCATCTTATTACAAAAGCATAACAAATAAATCGCAGAGAATTAAAATTTTTACCAGAGTTGAGTTTCAAAAACATGAATTTTTTTATTTAGATTTTCGGAATCGTGTTCCAGTATATCTTTTATAGAAAACACGATGTTTTACTAATTATAGATTTATTCTATCAAAATTTTGTGCCATTCGGACTAAAGATTTTGTCATAGATACTAGACGTTCATACATTCGGATGTTTTTTGATTTATCCTTTTTTGATGCTTTCTCTTTTTTGAGAGCGAAAATACGCTTCAATCATCGATTAAAAAAAGCCTCCGAGAAACGGCAGAAGAAAGCATTTAAAGCTGGTAAATCGAAAAACATTCAAGCGTATAAATGTCTATTATATGTAAAAAACTTCCAACTCAAACGGATACAGTTTCGATGGAATAACTCTGAATTCAATTGTATTTTGCACTAAATCTTGCATAGGGCATAGGTAAATGACTATGTTGATTTTGATGGATATGTGCATAACCCAAAGTGACGTATATGCAAGCATATGAGATTGTTATACATATGTGACATGCCCTAAATAGCAATTTTTTAGAGTAAATAAGGCATGCTGAGTTCAACTCGTATGAACAGTTTCATGCGCAGGCCTACTCAAGTATTCATTGAACTTGATCTCATGCATTTATGTTATGCAACTCTGAAGTCTTTATTTTTCTTCAAGATGATGATGAGTATAAGACAAAGAGTTATCATGTGCATATTTATTTATTTTTTTTTTTTGTTTGATTAAATATTTGTAGGTGGGTGTACTCTACAGACGTTCTAAAATGAATAATACCAATGTTGAATGGCTTCCCTATTCTCAATTAATTGCATGCATTTTCTACAGTGTAATATTGTGTGTCGGTGTAACAGGTAACGTTTTGGTGATTGTTGTGGTAATTCTTCATCGAGATATGAGAAATGCAACAAATTTATTACTAACGAATTTATCCCTGGCCGATTTATTACTACTCGTGTTTTGCACAGCTGATGGTTATCAACATTTGTATGCTAAAGAAAATCATCGGTTAGGAAAATTCATGTGTAAGTATCGTCTTCTATTTCAAACAAGTATAAAGTCTAATTGAAGGATTAAATTTATGTCGTTTATGACCATAATTTTAAGAATATCTTTTATATTTAATAATGATCATTAAAAAAAGAATACAATTTATAAGAAAAATTCCTAGATGAAAAAACATTTACTTTTCAAGATTTTATAAGATCTTATGTATATTTTCTTACTTTAGGTAGTTTTAGTCCGTTTGTACAAAATGTAACGGGTACATGTTCGGTTTTAACAATAATGGCGATTAGTTATGAACGTTATGTGGCTATTTGTCAACCATTGAAGGTTTGTAATATTTCTGATGTACTTCAATGATTTTTACGTTATTAACAGATTGTTTTACTTTTCTATAGTCTTCAGTGAAACTAACGTTATTTCGTACATTTCCCACTGTCTTCTTCTTCTGGTTTATATCATGTCTGTTATCAGCACCATTTTTTGTCTATACAAATACGTCTCTCGAAAAAGCAATCTACAATGAAACAATCATTTCATGTACGTATTTAACGTTGTCTAGATATTTATCGTGTAACGATAATTAAATGGTGTATTCTAGGTATGACTGAGTTTCCAAAATCATGGTTCAATTGGTATTTGGTTCCATGTACATTATGTATCCCAATCCTTATTTTATCCCTTCTTTGTTATTGGCATTTGAAAATATGTCGAATATTGTTCAATCCACAAGCTCTTCTTCAAGACAACACTGTAGTTACACGTTATCGTCGTCAAGTTGCCATTATGTTGGTGACACTTACTGTCACTTTCTTTGTTCTTATCTTACCTCATAAAATTTGGGGGATTATTCAACCAAATTTAACTATGACTCAATTTTATTCTATTGGCTTTCCAAAACATTCACTCATCATTATTTTTACACGAACACTGTTGTACTTAAATTCGGCAATCAATCCAATATTGTATTCAATTATGTCAACAAAATTTCGACAAAGTTTTGTGTTATTATTTGGTTGTGGTGCAAATAGACCAGTTCTTTTATGTAAACAATATTATGCTATGAAACAGCTACCAAATAATTCTCACAAACAACGTTCTGCATCACAAAACATCACGGCATTAACAGCAACAGTTCATAACATTCACGAGAGTAAAATACCGTTCATTGAAAATAATCATCATCAAAATGGACATATAAATATATAATGAACAAAGAATTAAAAATAATAACAGCAATTAATGAACGCTTGATCTCAAGCGTTTGAGTCCATTATTTCAGTGTTTAACACAAAATATGCTCTATTTCTTTGTACATATAAATGTTAAATGTTAAAAAGTAATTAAATATTTAAAATATTATGTTGATTCAGACTTGCAGAACAGAAAGTGCAGTTAGAGAATAGACCCAAAATATCGTTATATTGGTGTAATAATCTCAATGGCAAACTACAGAATAAAACAAGAAAAAATAAGAAATATATCCTGACTTTTGCTAAAAAGTCTGATTTTTTAAGGATTGCTTTTGAACTACTGCTACTGATCTCGTTTTTAAGCTAACGCTCTCTCTTAGTATGCTAACGAGGGAACCGATTTAACTGAAAAAACCGTTTTTTTCAGTGAGACCTAGTGGATTATAGGTTATCGACTATTCTGATCCCGAATATGACCATGGAAGTTGCTTATAGATCTCCAGAGACCCAGTTTTTGGAAAACTAGTTTTTCAGAAACTCTACAAAATAACCATAACCTTTCTATCTTGCAAATTCTATAATTTTGCAAAGGAAGGTCGTGTAGAGCTGAGAGATGTCTCATTTTAATCAGAAATGTGCTGGCTACAATTGTATCTCATTAAAAAATGTTTTGGTTATTTTGTAGAGTTTCTGAAAAACTAGTTTTCCAAAAACCGGATCTTTGGAGACCTATAAGCAACTGTCATGGTCATATTTAGGATCAGCATAGTCGATGACCTATAATCCACTAGGTCTCATTGAAGAAACGATTTGATAGTCAAATGGATTTCCTTGTAAGTTTGCTGACTCTGGATGGTTTAGAGTATAGAAATGGATCTGAAGGTTAATTATCTAAGTATAATACTGACGTGAGTAACACGGTATAATATATCTGAGATTATTTGTGACGGGTACTACGTAATACTGATTAGTTCAGTTCGATTTGACGCATAAAGGATTGGATATCAGGTTATCTCACCCGCTTCATGCACAGAGTAGTAGAACTAGTGCCGAACTGTTCCTAACGTCATATTCTTCAGCGGATAGCACATTGCAAATCCAAGCGTGAATGTTATTCTTTACTTTTGAACATTTGTTACTTTATCGAGAAAAGTCATGTATACTCGATCTGAAACTGAACATGTTTCTTTACCATACGCATCGCCGCTCCTTAACAGCTTAGTTAAAAGAGACTGTGGAATCACTTTAACATTACGACAAACAACGCGAGAATAATGTACAGCGTGGAAGAGAACATTTCCCCAACGTGGTAGTAAATACTAATGTCTCTTAAAAAGTAGAAAATGGTCGTGTGTCTTAAATTTTCAAGAATACAGTAAAAACCATCCTGACGTGTAACACTTACTGTAAGCGAATTAATAACGGTTTGGCCTAAAATAGACTTTCAGAATATGACAATTCTGGGTCAGAAAATTGATTTTGAGATAAGCATAAGGAAAGATAGCATGAAGTGTCTAATTTGAGAATCTGTATCGAGTTTGGTTACAGAAGTGATTTTTCGTGGCATTCGAGCAAGTTTTCTAGGAGTCTTGAAAAACAGAATCTTCAAATAATAGTTTTTTCCTGGGTACTTATGCAATTAAATTTCTTTTTCAACGCGCAGGTTTGTAGAGCAAACGTTTCTGATCAAAATAAGGCCTCTCACAACTCTGTATGATTTTGCGTCAAAAGGTTACAAGTATTTGTCGACAAGTCCTAGAATTTTGCGTTTTATACAGCGTTTTCTCTACATGGAAGTTACACCTGAAGTATCTCTCAAGACTTTTTGATATACTTCAAGCTAGAGAGTTCAGATTTGTGTTATTTTAAACTAGACATCTAACTACATGCGTTGACTGGCACCGATTTTTCAATTTAGGTCTTGTTTTTGTTAAATTGAGGATTTCTAGAAAACCAGGAAGCGTTTTTTGGGGGTTGCCACTTGTCTAAAGACTTAACTGAAAAATCGGCGCCGGTCAGCCCATCTACTTTAAAGTAAAACAGATCCGAACTCTCTAGCTTTAAGTATATTAATAGATCTTGGGAAATACTTCAACGTCCTTTTTGGACCTAGATCTCTGGAAAGCTCCTAAACGATACGATTTGTAGACAAAAAAAATTTCCATTCTCGTAACTCAGTGTGCCTAACATTTACGGAAAGTTTTGTCAAAATCGGATGTACAGTGTTGGAGATAATTTCTGAGGGGGGCTCTTAAGAAATTATGAGTAAGAAGTTCTTGACAAAAAATGCAAAATAAAGTTTCAATAGGATGATGTTGTCAAAGTCATTCTATCTCTGGAAATAGAATAAGTAACGGCAACAACGCTTGCGAATGAAAGCAAAGTTATTTTTTACATGCTGGTGCTCTGTAGATATTATCGCTAGAACTAGTTCGTTGCTAGAACCATTCCAGCATCCTGTGACTGAGGCGAAATGGCTGAACCCTAATCCTCTGTGCGTCACAGAGAACCGAACTGATCTTTGCTACACCCTGAAAGTCACTAATGGCAAAGCGATCGTACACTTAGGATACTCACATTTGTGAAGACATCAGTCTCTCAGGCATTTTCTCACTTGTGTGTATTTTTATTTTGAGATCTCGTATAAACTATGTTTAGCTGAATCTACATAGACGGAAATATCTTAGATTTTATGCATTATCCGAGAAAAATAAAGAGGTCTCGTAATATGACCCAAGAAGGATTGGGTGACACGACTTTTCGACCGACCAAGAAGGTGACACGACTTTTCTGATTCTTACTCAGTTAGCTAAAAATTTTATTTTCCGCCTGCCAAATCTGCCCCCTGTCCCCCCTTTGGAACATTGAAAATTTAAGTTGTGCAAATTCTTTAAGAAGTACATCACTAGACGTAGAATTCAACGCTGATTCTGAATATTTAGTCGATTCCACT